ATTGAGCACATGCCATGTGTCAGACACTGTTCTTAACGCAAGGAATTGCACATGGGCCAGAACAGATCAAATCTCTTCTTCATGGAGCTGACATTCTACTGAAGAACAAATCAGTTTGTGTCACATGAAATGCAATTGTCAGAATTCTTCAGTTCTTTTTTTTCCTTCTTCACAACATCTCACATTTGCATTCGAACAGATGTACCAGTGAAGATGGAGAAAGAGGGATTAAAAACCTGGCTAAGATTTAATAATAGTTTTTTAAAAAGAGAAAGATTCTAATATATCACCCATTCCACCAAGAAGTTAAAGGGAAATTAGTTCCCAATTCTAGTTGTTTCCAAACTTTTCTGATTAAAGCATATTTTTGAAAACTAAAATTTCTATGGTATATTGGGAGGTGGGGGTGGGCAGTGAGGATTAGTCTATATAGTTACAGAACAAGTCATTGCTTTTTAGCACAGGTTGATGAACTACACTTCTTAAGCCAAATCTGGCACTCCACCTTGTTTGGTAAATAAAGTTTTATTGTACAACCACACTCGTTTGTATTGTCTATGACTGCTTTCACCCTAAAATGGCAGAATTGAGTAGTTACACCTATATGTTCCACAAACCTAAAATGTGTGCTACCTGGTTCTTTACATAAAGACTTTTCTGAATCCTGTTCTTTAGCACTGAGTTTCTGTTTGAGTACAACGGTTGACTGTCCTGCCTGTATACTCAAACACATTCAAGGGGTGCACCTCCTTCCCTGGGAACAGCTAGATATTGCACTAAGGCTCTGATTTCTTCCTCGTAGCAGCACCCCGCTACACGATGTACCCATTTACTTCTCTGAAAGATATCACTTTAATACTGTGTATCCAGAACAAACTTTACACATTAATCAACATGTTAGCAACTCATTTTGTGATGGCTGCCATGCCTTGTAACTTGAGAAATGCAGCCTTCTGTTATTCACCTTGTCTATTACATCAGTGCTCTTCAAATATTTTTGATCGCATACCATAGCTTTGAAAAACTATCATTACCCCCCATACATTTTTCACTGACATTTTCAAATTTTCATATATGTTTAAATAATAGTTAAAGGTGTAATTTATAGCATGTTATAAAATGGGATATTTTAAAATAAAATGTTTACATCTCTTCCCTAAACGTGTCCAAAGAAATCAAAATGGCATCGCAATTTGATATCCCCTTTATCCACGTACTATACATGTGGTGGGGTGCCATCCAGATACCTCCTTCACAGACAAAGCCTTCATTCCCTGGCAGCCCTGAATGAGGCTACTACTGGCTCACATCTGAGTCTCTGCACAGGAAGTGTTTTTGACTGAAGGGAGCTACCTAGTTAAAGGTTATGCTCCATCCTGGAAAGGCAGCAGTGACTCATCTACTGTGGGGACTCAGAGACCTAGCTCCCTCACCACATTCTGCCATCCAGAGTTCCTGTGGGACAGGCTGCAGCCCTGTGGTGATTACATCAGAGCTCATTTTTCCTCTGGACCCATTTCTGTTTCCCTCACTCTCCCACAGTGTTATTCCCAAGAGCATGCCCCAGTAAATTTTCTTCATACAAACCTCTGTTCTGGAATGTTTCCCTGGGAACTTGACCTAAAATAAACATTTTCAAAAGTATATGACTAAGCTCTTTGCATTAGGAAATCTCATGTTATTTTTTCTTAATAAAAACCTTCATTTTCATTCCACATTGCCAACATATTTTTATCCTATTGTAGTATATTTTTATGCTTGAAAATCTTTTTTGATTAACCTTTGTCACACTTCTCTGCAACTATGTTATATAAATTAAAATTGAATTTTAGAAATTTCTTATGAACATAGGGTTCTATGCATTAAATTTCTTCTAGGCTGAGCTATCATTACAATAATTGGTAACATGCATTTGATCAAAACAACATACATGTATTATAAATTTTGATAATGTTACACATAAAAAGTAAAAGTAGAAATGCAGATCATAAGATAATGATTTATATTTTAATTAGTTTGTGTGCCTGTATACAAATATTATTTACTGCTAAATGAGTGTCCAATATTAGTTCTATTCCATTTTCTCTTTTATTTGTATAGATGTACAAATATAGTATTAGCACGTGTCACATACGTAGATGGGAATGGAAATGGTTTGGTTGCATTGAACTGCAAATGTTCTCTGAACTCCTTCTGAGTGATTTACCAAAAATCACAGACCGATAAAATACCAAAAAGTATTTTAATGGCTTATCAGCGACAATTTAATTAGGTTCTCATTTAGTTTTCTTGCAAACAAAGAATTGAAAACCACTTGACTTGCAGAGTATTTGTTAACCAGTCATTAAGGTCATTCCTTTTCTCATTACCTACACTGTATTTCAAATCATTGCTTTGTCATTTGTGACATCCCAGAGACAACACAGTAAAACTGGCAAATGAATGAAGAGTTAGCCTCTGTTGTGAAGAAAGAGATTGGGCACTGGCAAAGGGAAGACCTTGAGTACAGGCTAGTTCTCAGCTCCATTTTATCACAAAACTACATATGGAGGTTCAACAGCTGCAAAGCAGCCATGCCAGTGAATCCCTTGAAAAGTCTTATTTTCTATCAGAGGTATACCCATACCAATTTGAAGGCTTCTGTTTCATATTATTACTAATTTTATAAAGACCAGGAAACAGTTGACACAGGAGGCAGAGAGCTGGTTCGTAGACTTTGGCACCAGCTTCTTTGTCCCGGGAATTTTCTGTGTACATTATTTCTCTAATAAAAAAATGAAGGTCTTGCATCATTACCAAATATTGTAAGGGTTGCACATTAAACAGTCTGAAACTTCTGGAAGAAATTTTATAAGGAATGTGCATCCTCAAATATCTTACATTTTGTCTTAATGTTTCTCATTATTTTGAAGAGCATAGTTTTTCTGTCATAGGGCATGATAGAGGGAAAGAAAAAACTTAAGAAAAAAAGGAAAGGTGAGTCTGAGAGCAACTTGTAAAGATTTCTAGATGTATTTACTCCTTGTTCTTTTGTACATCTTGCTGCTGGCCATGGTGACAGGCAACTACTTTTAAATGGTGCAATCAGGTGTTATAGAAGACAGGAAGTAAATATTACCCAAGGTCAGAAATGGCCTTTCCTGGGCTGTCCTTGAAGCTGTTGGAATATTTCATTTAATAGATGAATTTTCTTAAGGCTTTCTTTTCCTAAACAATCATTTTCCAAGGGCAATAACTGTGGCGAATTATTAACCTTAGGAGTGTTAAACTCAACTATACTTTAAATTTACAACACAATAGTTTATAAAGCCATAGAAAAGACTTAACTAAAGAAATTCAAATAGCCTTATTCTGCCCACCCTTACTTTGGTTGTCTATTTCTCTCTTGTATTATTTCAATAATTTACTGTATTCTTTTACTGACAATGCCTAGAAATATCACTTCCTTCTTGCTAATACCAGATGTATTAGTAAGATTTAACCTTTCCCCTTCTATACTACCCCACTTCTTTCGTTTAAAAGAAGTTCCCTGTCACCATGGCCAGCAGCAAGAGATTCAAGAGAGCAGGGAATAAATATAGCTAGACTCGTTTAAAGTCACTCTCAAACTCAATCTTCTTTTTACTCTTTTAAGTTTTTTCCTTCCTTCTACAAATAAACAAAAATATGTAGAGGTTCACATATAGTATTTTAGTATTATACTATCCTCTTCCTAGAGGATAGTATATATGATAAATATAGAGTTTGGAGTAAGAAGACCTAACATGACCATGATTTTAGACAAGCCACTTAACTTTATGAAGCTTCTATTCTATTTACTTATCTATGAAATAGTGATAATAATTTTCTTCTGTATTATCCTATGTATGTGAAAGGCATGTATAAACACAAACAGTCAGTATAAACACATATATTAAAAAATACAACCCAATGAAACATTCTCTCTGCTTTGATCTATGGAGTTTAAATTTTGTAAGGGAAGGACAAAGAAGATTTTTACAACTTAGTATTATATATAAAGAACAATTCACATGTCTTATCCGTAAACATATGGTTTATTTATGCTTTTTAATAACGAAACTAGGAAAAAATCAGTTCAGTTGAACATAAATAATTTTATCAACATCATATTTGCAGAGAAAGAATTCATTTAGTCAAAATATCACAACACTGAGTTTCACAGTTAAACCCACATGCAGACTGTAGAATCATGTTACAGAATGTTTCAACGGAATGTGTTAAATATAAAAATAATCCAATGCAATTTCCATTTAACGCATGTACAAGACTCCTGCTTCAACAGAATTAACAAGTTTACAATCTTTCTCATAAAGTGATACATATTCAAAGTGCTCTGTAGCACTGAAGTTGAGATCGAGGAACAAATACTGTAGAGCTCCACAGTAATGCCGCTTGGTAATAAATGAAATTGGATATAATGTAGATGGAATCCCCTCATAAAACAAAGGAGACCTACAATGTGTCATGAGTGACTCTCATCCTCAATAGGGGGTGGGGCTGAGGGACTTCATATACACCTCAGTACAATCATCATAAAAATGAGTTTAAAGTTGAATTCATCCTAGAGAAAGAAGAAAAAATAGAAAGACAGAGAAATAGAAAAAGAGAGTGACAGAGAGAGACAAAGGAAGTTCACAGGGCTTCTGCAATCTATCTTCCAACTGAGACTAATCCTCAGTATAATCAATAGTCCATAGTAGAGTTTGCAGACATTAGAGTCCATCAGAATTACCTGGAGGGTTTGCTTGGTAAGACAATTGCTAGGCCCCACCCACAGAGTTTCAAATTTAATAGGTACAAGATGAGGGCAGGAATTAGTATTTGGGACAGTTCCAAGTGGTGCTGATATCCCGATGGAAGGCCCACATTTTGAGAACCACAGTTGTGCAGTCGGCATGGATTACATGATCTAGGGCAAGAGCTCTCAGTTTTGTCTACACAGTAAAATCAACTGAATTAAAAACAAACAAACGAACAAACAACAAAATAACCCTGATACCTACACCCATCTAAAACTAATTAAATCTGAGTCTTTGGGGTGAGACCAGGGGTTGAATCGCTCATGCACTCATGAAAATGTCTCATGGAAGTCTAATGTGTAGTTTAGCTAGGGAATCACTGCTTTAGGAAATTTTCTTTCACCTTCTCACATGGAGAAAAGATAGCCAAAACAATGTGCCCTTTGGACTACAGGTGCATGAACAAAGATGTCTTCGAGGAAATCAAAATCCTCAGTAGGCACAATGATGCACAACTATTTCTAGTAATATCGGGGAGTAATTTAGACAGCAATTGTGACTGCTGATTTACAATACACTCCAAGGTTAGTTCACAGGTTTGAAATAACAGAACTCGGGAAGGTGAGGAGCACACTAATTTAACCCAAGTTTATTTTCCATTGAATGACATCAACAAAAGAGTCTAGAATGTTCATATATGTGCTGATGTGCAATGTTTACCTGCTATAATTATTGTTACTCATTTCACTCAGCTAAATTATTTACTACTCTGATTAAAATTTGAGCAGCCCCACAAATAAGGCCCCCAGGGCTGAAATGTCACAAGCACTCACCAGTCTACCTCACAAAGCAAAACTACAGAAACACACACAAAAAACAAAGGGCACTCTGAAATAAGATTTCCACTTTAAATTACTCTTCTAGCATAAATAGAAAGAATGACTATTTCTAAGTGAATATACATGCCATGGGGTCATTTTACAGGTGTGAAGCAATCTTTAGTATTGAGTGTACATGGAATGATCTTTAGAGCTCATTTTCACAGACCAATTCATTAAAGCCTCAAGCCATAGATTTTAAGTAAAACTCTCATGTGTGAAACTAGAATTATGTTTGATTATAAATAAAAATGAATTTAAACAAACCCCGGATGTTGGGACTGGGTCAGTGAGGTGATCTTTGATTAAAGTCAAACATTTGAAAACTACCAATTTGATTTGAATAGAGACATGTTAGCTATGTTGATCACGTAACAACCTCACAGCCCTCTGTGAAGAACCCACTGCCTGTGAGGAGAGTCCTACAGATGGGTAAGCTATTCTCAAGGTGCTCACTGTGCTACTGATCAGCACTGACAGACTGGGAACCAGTTCAGACAAGCAGAGGTTTTTCTTAAATAAAATCTAAAGTCCTGGCAAGGCGCTCGGGTGAATCTTTCTCCACTCTTTAAGTCTTCCAGAAGACATCTTTAAAATATTCTGAAAAATAGTAAAAAGGATAGTAGAACTATGAATAAAATCACTTAGGACAGTAGAACCTAGGCACTGAGGATGTGAGGGCCTCAAGGAAATAGCAAGAATACAAGGAAATGATAAAAATAATTTTGGTCTTTTGTATTTTTTATAATTTTAATATATTTTATACATTTATGGCTATATATGTATGCATATATGTGTGTATATATATGTGTGTGTGTGTGTGTCGCACAAAACTAAAGAAATGAAGTCATAGAGCCCATTTAAAGGCAAGTAAAAATAGCCATTCTTTTAAACACTCAAAGGGAAGTGAATTCTGGAATAAGTTTGCTTCCTTCCTTCTGTGGTGTGTCCCTGTGGCACATTGTCCTCTGTATTTCATCTTTAGGGCCCTATAAGGGAGCCATGACTCTCTCTACTTCAGAGAGCTATGCTTGCAAAGGCAGATGATGTGATTTAGAATTGTAAGGAGCATAGAAGTGGGGTTTTGTGTGTGCTTTCATCCCACCTCCATCTCATTCAGCCCAGTCCTGATGGGCTGGGTGTTAAGCAGCACAGAACTGAAGCCTGTGTACGTGTATACATGTATATGCAAGGACTGATAAAGGGATGAGCCATCCCAAAGTGGAGGGGGCCCCAGGTGGGGTATCTGTTTAATCCTGCCAATGGAACAGGCTTACACTCACCGTCTGCCCTGAAGTCTCTTAGCCCTTCATGTCGCTCACGGAAACATCTGTGTTCTCACTTTCTATTTGCGCTGCATGCTCTTGCTTCTCTTGCGTTCCAGTGCAATCAGGTTTTACAGGAAGTGTTTCCATGTCCTGTGGACTCTCTCTATTTGGCCCTGACGCTCTCTCTTGGGATAATCCCAGTCTGAATTCTTCAGGCTGGTCTGACTCCTGCCCTCCAACACAGCTCCCCACCCCTACATCCTCCCCTACTAACTCTGCCTGCTGAGTGGTGTCAGCTTCCCCTCTCTTTTGATCCTGGCCTAGCTGTGGGGCTTTCCCTTCCAGGTCTGAAAGTTCTTCCCCTTCCTTTTGATCCTGGCCTAGCTGTGGGGCTTTCCCTTCCAGGTCTGAAAGTTCTTCCCCTCTCTTTTGATCCTGGCCTAGCTGTGGGGCTTTCCCTTCCAGGTCTGAAGGTTCTAGTGGAGTCCTCACCCCGGTTCCTGATGCCCCTGTCACTGTCGCCTCCTCCACTGCTGGCACCTCCTCCCCACTCAGCGCTATTTCCTCTACCACCACCTTCTCTGCAGCTGCTGTTTTTCTTAGTAACTCATCTGCTTTGTGCCAAATTTCCTCACCAGCAACATCTGAAAAGTTAGAGGCTGTATTTGCTTCTGTTTTCCCCTCAGCTGTCTCTGAATCTGCCAACACCTTTCTCTTCTCCTCAGCCATTTCTGCTGCTCCTCCTTCTTGGTGCACATCTTCCTCAGCCACCACTGCTCCTTCTTGCAAACTCCCATTCTCTTCTGTGTTCCCATTTCTCATCACTCCTGTACCCAGAGTGCACCCTTTATCCTCCTCTTCTTCTGGGTCCTTATTCATCACTTTTCCACTCAACTTTTCTGCCATCATGGAATATCCCTCAGGAACATCTTCTTGGGTCATTGCTATGCCCCCCACTTCTTGTTGCCCTTGTGAAGACTCTTCTTTATCCTTCCTTTCTAGTCCTGCAAGGCCATCTTTATCTTTGGCTACACACTCCTGGGCCTTGCCTGCCACTGTGGTCATCCCCTCAGCTGTCTGCACCTTGCTTGCTGGGTTACTTTCAGAAACCCCTACTGGACACTCTCCCTCAGGACTCAATCCCTCATCCTGCTCAGAGGGAGCTACGTCATCATTCTCTCCACAGGTTGGCTCTGCTCTGCCTTTGTGTTCCATGTCTCCAGCTTCTCTCAATCTTTCCCCTCCTCCCTCATTCCTCAGAGCTATTATGTTTTCCAGTGACTTTTCAAATCCAGGTGCTGTTTCAGACATGGTCCCTTCCCTCTCTCTCAGTAAATCTTCTTGCAGCCTTGTGTCTTCAATCAATTCAGATGCTTCCATGAGTGCTTCATTCTCAACATCACATTGCATTTCATTTTGGGGGCCTTGTGTCTCTTCCTCGGGTCTTTCTTCCTTCATAGTTTCCCCTTCTCCCCCTTTAAACTTTTGCCCTTCTTCTAAAATGTCTTCATCTTGAAGTGCATTTGCCCTTGTCACCTCTTCTCTCTCAGATTCAGTTTCCCCCAGAGGTGTTTTTGGCCTCTCAGCTTTCGTCCTCTCTCTTGCTGCATAGAATTCCTCAGGTGATATTTCTTTCCTATCATCTTCCTTATTAGATTCTACCTCAGTTGTAACCTGCTCCCTTTCCACATCTTCCGGGCTGTCTGAAACCCCCATCTTGGTAGCCTCAGCCTTCTCAGATGCCGAGGAGCCCGTAACTGCCTTCCTCTCTTCGACTGGTTCCTCTCTCTTAAGTATTGCCTCTTCTGAACCATCCTCTCTTGAGGATGCAGAGTCTCCCTCAGGTCCCATGTCCTCTAGATCTGTGGATGCTTCCTCTGCACCGTCCTCTGCATCTGGCTTTTCTGACCCTGCTTCACTCGCAGCTGCCCCTCTCTCAGCCTCTCCCTTCGGCGTCACAGCCTCTTTCAGGGCTGCTGCCTCCTGAACACACTGTGAATTCTGAGCTGGGGCCTTGCTTGCAAGCACTGAACTCCATTCCTCCTCAGAAGCTGCCTTCTCTGTCTCCAGCACCGCCTGCATCAAAGCCTGCTCTTCGGGAGCCTCGTCTTCCTTCCGACCTCCAGAGGCTCTTACCGCTTCTTTTCCCTCTTCATCCAGCCCTGTGTCCCCTTCTGCTTCTGCCTCTTCCCCACTTGCTATGCCCTGAGGGATCTCTCTCTCCTCTGTAAATTGTTCCACTAACTCTAGTTGTTCTGCTGTTGGATTCCACTCCCCCAGGGGAACCTCATTAACGCCTGCTTTTTCCCACAGTGTTGCATCCCCTTTTTCTTCTGGTGCGTCAGCATCCCTATGTTGGGGAACCTCATCTTTCTCCACTGCTTCTTCCTTCTCCCGTGTATACATTTCTGATGTAACTGGCTTGGATTCCTTGATTGAGTTGAGGGTTTCCATTTCCTCCACCACTAAATTCCTATTTGGTGCTATAAAATAAGATTAGAAAATAAGGTTACTTCAATTCAAGTGCACAAGAAGGAAATATATATATATATATAT